AATTATCATATGAGAACTGTCATGGCGAACCGGAAGGTAATGTGTTTTCGTGGATATATCATGCAGAAACAGGTCTTGATATAACAACATCCGATCTCGTTGACAACCATATCCACGAAGCCGACGTGTGTTGTAAGTATCGACTGTAATATATATTACAATTATATAAATAACGATGCAATACAAACGAGAGTGAAACTTATTGTTCTGTTTGATACAGTCTATAGATTGTGATTTATCATTAATTAAGGAATTCTATTTGATAGTCATAACTAAGTATGTTTTCGGAGAAACAATGTACGTAGACTATTAATTTATGTATATGTGTATTTGTCACTGAACGAATAAGTATTGCAAAGCAATGTTTTATTTACCATAAAACATGATCTAATTGAGTCCTCAACATGCTGTATCAAACAACAATAATAATAATTGTTTTCTTCAGTATAGCATCTTTAAACTGTCAAAAACATTGATGTATACAATGAATGAGGTGTAGCTTTTCTGTCCTACACGTTTGCTGTGTTATGTATTAGCACGAACAACAGTCGTGGGTTTTCCGTCGAACTCTCCGAAATAATGTCTTATAATGTTTTGTTTAATGGCAGCCGATTACCCGGTAATTGTTGGTTGTGACAAGATACTAGTCGATCAAGATTCGACTGTAATCGTTAGTATTCTGTCACCAATTCCCGATATGACAGAAGTAACGGCCTGTATATGGATTAAAGCTACTGTGACAAACCACTACGGCACACCCTTCTCATACTCAGTCCCAGGCCAGCACAACGAATTCCTTCTTTATAAAGCGATGGAGTTCGCGATATATGTTAAAGGTCATAGTCGCAACACCGGACATGCGGTCAATGATGATACCTGGCATCACGTGTGTGTCACGTGGACGAACTTTTTAGGACAATGGCATATCTATGACAATGGGATACAAATTGATTTCGGCAATACTAGTAACTTAAGAACGGACGAGACGATCATTGGAGGAGGCTCTCTATCGCTCGGACAAGAACAGGACATCCCTGAAGGAGAATTTGCAAATTTTCAGGCACTTGACGGCGAGCTGACCCTTTTCAATATGTGGAACATCGTATTTAGCGCAACCCAAATTCAAGACGTGTTCAACACATAACGGGGAGTATTTTTGAAGGAGACGTTTTTTTCCTGGAGATCTGATCGTGTATACGTCGCTGGATCTGCCATCCAAGTTCCTAATGACCTGTGTATATATTTCTTTGTTTTGCTATATTATTAATAATTTTGTTGATCGAAATTGTCAGTCAAACATCGCTGTTACAGTACAAACTTAAGCGAATCCACATAGGACTAATGTGGTATCATCTGTACGTAAATATTCACTAGATATATTTCTGATGACAATTATCACATATAGATATCGCGATTTATTTGAATGACAAGGGGTACGCTACTTAAGAAGGTTTTGTTTTATTCGTAGCGCTAGAACAGTGTGTCAATTATAAGTGCAAGCGTTATGAGGTATTCATGGAGGAAGTACATTGTCAACTGCTCAGAGTAACTGCATTGCCTAAGGTGGCCAGCTTGCCATGTTGAAGATGCGGCCAGTTTTTGTGAAAGTTAGAAAATATATATTCGATAACGACCTTGACGATGAAGTAGAGAAGGGATTTTGGTTTGGACTGTCTAGAAACAGTGATGGGGAATTTATCTGGTCCGATTCGTCGCTTTTGTCATCCGGAACATTTACGAAATGGGCGAAGGGTCAACCAAATGACAACCACCAGAAAGATAGTAATGGCGAGCAGTGTGCTCAACTTTGGAAGCTTATTCTTTCAATGATAATAACTTTTCACGCAAATAAATACTAGTAGTTGGCAATACTTAAGTTCGACACAACCTCATTGAATTCAGGAAAGATGTCTATCTGACGTGGGATGACGATTACTGCAATGATGCTGGGTTTGGCAGGAAGAAGGGATTCATTTGTGAATACGACGGTAAGGGAAAATGTTGATATTTTAAGCAAGTGACGGCACTCGTAAGATAGTTCTTTATTTAATTAATATTTTGTTTAAATTTATATATTTGTCCCACATCTTCATACTTCGTACCTCCGAACGTTTGGAATAATCTTCTTCAAGTTCCCCCGACTGTTCCCTCCTAAGATATATGACCCTTTTACCTAAAAAATATTTAAGTGATGTAACATTATTTCTTTTTTAGTTACTGACTGACAGTGAGTTGAGTTCATCGAGATCGGACCGTGTCCTCACTGAGACATGGATGATGGACCTGTAGAGAACCACCTATCGTATCAATTTAATAATATTAATAAATAGTAATAGTAATAGTTATGGCTCATGTGTGTATGTAAGTGTGTTAAATGCAACAAGTATTTAAACTCAAAGACGTTCGATTCGAATAAACAGTGTACAAAAGTCGCCGTCGAGATCTCGTTCAAAACTAGGGAGCCCTTTGGTTAGTGTTTTACTTTTTAACGCCATTGTGTCCACTGTTCCAAGGTTCTCATGACCAGGGTTCCGTAGACGTGATTACGTTAGATTGGGTCAAAAACAAGTATCGTGGCACCCTCGCTCTTACCGAGATCTTAGCGGTTATTGACGAATACGGTTTATTGAAATTATCACCGCCCTTAATAAGGTAACATTATGTACGGAAATGTTAAAAAACGTCAAGGAAATGGGCAACTGCTGTCTATGAAGATTGGAGAAAAAACGATACATAAATATTTTCAGCTTCCATGTAACAGCGTATGTCTAATACTGAACCATTCAATGCTTCAAATCTGCTTAGAACTTCTCAACCAATCAGATCATGCTTCCCTGTCGGGCTTCATATACACTTCAAAATATTCGCTAAATCTTAAATACATTATAAATCATAGAAAAGAGGATCTATGTATATATCGAATGCACAAGAATTGGTAAATAAGAAATACCAAGAATTCACCTTATCAATTAGTGGCTACATCTGGAGATGAATCGCTTCAATGGTGTCAACATGATGTAGCTGGAGGCAATCAATATTGTTAAAGTAGACAACTTTCTTTATTTGAGGATTGGAACGCTGTCATGGTCAGTGGTGTCGGAAATATGTTTCTTTTAATATACTTCGCTAGATTTTGCTTGTAATAACTTAATTTGCTCAGATAACGTAGGTAGATATTGATGGTATGTAGATCAAGAAAAGCTGCAAAGCTAGCGAGAAATATTTTGAGGTTGTGGAAGAGTTGATCGTAAAAGTGTGAAAAATGCACAACCCGTCAGACAGAATGACACATGTTTTCTAGAAAGAGATGGAATTTATTTATGAAGCCATCATCTTAAACGTTATTATGTAATGTGAGGAGAAATGCGACAACGTTGATTGGCGAGAAAAGAGAGTTGAAAATAATATAGAATACTAAAAGATAAAAAAAAATGATCACCATCCTTTTTACTCATCTTACTCTCATAGACGTGCATGTCTACTAAAACATCGTTAATGTAGAAAGACTTTGGATAAGGAAAAGTCATCTGCAAATCTATGGAAATTTTCTTGGAAGATGATAGTGCACAAAATGTCGAAAATAAGTCTGTCAAAGGAGTCCTTGGAATGTAATAAAATTGAAAATTAAGTTTCGCCTCAAAAGTCATGAAAGTTGTAAAAATTTGGAGAGTTGTTTTGGATGTCAGAAAAGCTGCCTTGATAGCTACAAAATCCATCTGAAAAATTCAGCAAGTCATCTTGAAGGGCGAGAATGGAGTCGCAAAAAGTCTGTTAAAATCGGAAATTCGCATTGGAAGACAGAAAAGTTGCTAGAAATGTCGCAAAACCGTCTAGAGTCTAGAGTATTGCTTCAGAAAGCAGCCAAGTCGCCGTAAACGCCATGGGGAAGTTTAAAGAGTGAAAAAGGTGACTTGAAATCATAAAAGGAAAGTTGGATAACAGGATAGTTGCATGAGAATTTGTTTGAAAGGCGAGCAAGTCTATTTAATACCCAAGTGATTTTCATGCAATTTTTCTTTTCTTCAAATTCGCAAATTGCTTTTGTAACCTTTCACTAAAGTTTTCTGTTATTAAAATATACTTTTGAGCTTTGTAGACAATTTTCATGACCTTTAGGTAACATTGTCTACCAAAATAACTCTCTAAACGTTTTCGTTGTGACTTTTCCCGACTTCCTTGTGTTCTGTAAAACTTTTATTTAATTTTCAGTCAAATTTCTGGTCTTTGCAGTCAATTTTCAAACTTTGAAGACAACTTTCGAGGCTATTCGACCACTTTCCCACCCTCTTAAAGAGACCCTCTGCACTTTGACTACAATTTCCTGACATTTAAGAAAACTCCACCTTCCTTTTGTAACTTTTCATGTAATTTGTTTTGTTTTTAAGGAAACTTGTTATACTTTGCAGACTACTTTTGTGGCATTTTATGAAATGTTCTTGCCTTCTTGAACTTTACCGCCTCTCTTTCCAGGTTTGGGGATAGTCTTTTTGACTTTTGGGGCAATTTTCTCAACTTTGCAGGCGATTCTATGAACTTTGCAAACGACATCATAGTCTCTTCAGACAACTTTTCCCGCCTTAAATAAAAATTTTCGAACTTTTCAAATTGTGTTGGTCTTTCAAAGCAACACTTTTGTGTTTTTTCAGATAACTTTTCACTTTCAAGACTTTTCATGGAACTTACTCCCTTCAACATGATCTTAGTCTACTTTTGCAAAGGGATTACCAGGCAACATTCTTTGCATAAACAATCTTCTCTTCTTCCAATGAGACTGGTAGACGACATTCATGACTATTCTGGCAACTTTTCTGCTTTCAAATGTAATTTTTCAAACTTTGCAAATTGCTCCCACGGCTTTTCAAGTGACATTATAATTTTTCAAAATTACATTTTGTTGTTGTTTGCACAAAAGAGACTCTCAAAATTTTTCATATGACTTTCCGGGCTCAGCCAATGTGGTATGCTATTAACCCAAAAACATACATATATCACATACGTAGTGGTGAGTTTATAAGCTTTACTCTGCAACATTTTATACAAACACAAACTAAGTAATGTTCAGGAAAGTCAGATCTCGACACAGTGTTACACCATGAGCATTCTCAAGATTTTACAATACAGGAATTCCGTCTTTTTCTTCTTTTTACGTCGTTCATAGCTTTTCACATACATAGTGGTGAGTTTATAAGCTTTACTCTGCAACATGTTATACAAATACAAAATAAGTAATGTTCAGGAAAGTCATGATCTCGACGCAGTGTTACACCAAGAGCATTCTCAAGATTTTACAATACAGGAATTCCGTCTTTTTCTTCTTTTTTACGTCGTTCATAGCTTTTCAACACGGATTTGTCTGGGTCGTCGTTTTCACCAGACATTGCTGTCTGTGGATTGGAGCGTATTCCCGTCTCTGAATTCTTCTTCTCCCCAGCTTGAACATGAACATGTGACCTGTAAGCAAACCAACAGATTAGTACAATACGAAAGAGTTGGACATATCAGACGGTCCCGAGTGGGAATTAGGTAATCAAAAATACAAATGCATAGGTGTTGTATGTGGTTCTAAAAATAAAACATATCAAATCCAGGACAAAGGTTTCATTCAGTGAGGAAATTTGCCAGTTAAACATTTCTGGTCACTTTTTAGTTGCGGATTCCGACAACTTTTGCAAGATTAGGTTAGACACGTACTGTTTACATACTCTTTAACCTTGTCAAAGTTGTCATCAACTTTTCAAGTCTGAATTCTGATACGTCCTTTGGATTACACAAGGCATTTTTTTCTTTTGCAAAGACCTTCCGTTTCTCGTCCCAACGACAACTACAGTGTTATCAATATCAAACATTGGCTTCAATGTGCTACATGGTGAATAAATGCTACATTACTATTACTTCCATAAACGTGGAGAGTGAAATTAGCTATCTAACAAGGTCTTCAGAGTCACTTGTATGTATACTTTAAAAGGTACTAGCTATTTCCTCATTCACGCATATTTTGATATTTGCTTTCCAGTCTAACTAACTCTTGATGTTGTGGGTAATGTTTGGGTTCCTTTGCGAACTTATAAATACATACACTGTAATCTTGACCGTTGGTCCTGAAAATTTAACCGCTTTTTGTGCAGGTCACATGCGTGTAAAGTTCAAAGACTCTTGTTATTGCCACTTTGAATTATATTGTGAACAGTTGGTCCTGAAAAGGTAACCAGTCATTGTAGGTAGGTCACGTGGGTAAACTGTGTAACGTTTAAATGTTAAAAGTTCCCACTTTGCCAGTCTAACACCCATACATACATTTACAGATATGTCACTACATACGCGTTGCATTGCGTTGGTACAGGTAAAGGGATACTATTGCTGTAAGCTGACGTCGCCAGAATTTTTTCCAGAACTAAAAAAATCGGCTTGTTGAAGTTTATGTTATTTCTTTTGTATGTTGTAGAGGATACTTAAGTCAGCAAAGCCGTGTCCGGTATAAATTACCTAATATAATTATATTTATAAACTCAAAACGGCGGTTGTATAGACAATTGAGTACCATGTGCTAATACAATCATTTTTAATTCTTTGCGCACATTTCAATAAGATTAATATACATATTTTTTCTTGAAAGAAACAAATGTTGATGTAATGCAATCATACTTTCAATACCAATACTTTCAGGCCTTCTGGTACAACTAAATTCACTTCCGTTCTCAATCACATATCTCAGACATAGTAATTCAACTCCCATACCTGATTGGTTCCAACTAGTGTAATAAATGTGCGTACGTGATGTCATTAATAAAAATATCTTCAACTTAGACGATGAATGAAAACTGATGATGTACTCATCCAAATTTGTATTATCGTCATGGTGCAGCAATTAAATTCGTCACGCAATCAACTTACGTGTCGCTATAAGTAGTCCCTCTTTTAATCGTGATTGCTGGAGTTTATAATATAGTGTTTTACAGAGGTATTTATAGGCGACAATCTCGCAAGTTTCGTAATTGCGCTTTTAAATCGCTTTGATTGTGAGCTGTTGCAACACTAAATCGCATATATTTATGATGCAGCACGTCATTGTATTGAATAATTGTCAAGAACTATGAATACCAATTTAAAAGCATTCTTCAAATACTATGCTAGATTCACATTAAGCATTACTTCATCTCTTCTGTACATAGTTAATATAGTAAGTCACCATTCAATATTATCAATGTGATATTTGTATGCAATTCTGCTACAGAACACAATCGATTTTAGATCCTATGTATAAGTCAGGTAATGGACTACGTTGAACCCACAGTCAGCTGACGCACACGTGATAATAAAATAAATACAATATTTACTATATGGGGG